ATTGTTATAGCTATCGTGTATGATTGAATAGATGTGTAATATTTAATTATTCACGTAGGCTATTGTGTTAATTAGAAGTAATTGAATCCGTAATTGTTCATTATCTCTATCTAAGTAGCAACTGGCATAATTGGATTTATGTCAGAGGAACATACGATCTAACTTAAACAAAATCTCGTAGCGTGTTTGTTAGTTAGAATTAGGCCTTTCTAATTATTAATGCAAACCAGAAATTAAATCCTATGGTCGTATCTGACAGGTTGTCGAAGCCTGTGCAATAATAAAAACCTGCTCAAACTAAATGTAATTTCTGTAGATAGCGGTGAGCAGGGTCGAATCCACAGAGACTGGGAGTAATTATTTCTTTTCAAACTCACAGTGACAAGGGAGTGTTTTTGTGCAGAGAGTGACAATCAAATAAATGCAAATAAAATCCAAGGAACTACTAAAAATTAAATAATAATTTACTAAACTTAAATGAATGATAACTAAGGCTCTAGCCAAGAAATAACTTCATCAATGATTCACCGAATTGATCATCGATGCAAAGCCAACTCCAATTATTTATCAATAAATAGGTTATAACTACCAAACAACCGATGACAGTTAACCCCTCCTTACTGTGTCGGTGATTAAGGTACGCCCGTTAACCACTGCTCTAATTAAGGAATAATCTTAGGTACGCCCGTAAGATTTAATTCCCCAATTGCCTTACGTATTAGAGGAGCCCTATTCTAACCAAATAACACACTACCAGGATTATTTTAGATTAGCCCGCGTATCCCCCTGACACGAATCTAATCGTGCCAGTTGTCACTATTTCAGGACACAATTACGGATTTAATGCCCCAATCGACAATAGATTACCAAATTAATTAATTATCCGGATCCAAGACAATCAATTAATTAAATAACCATAAGCATAGCAATCAAGAAATATGCGGATACCAATAAATAAAAAGAAAAATTAAATTAAAACGATCTCACAATTTTTAGATGAACCAGAGCCTTCGTTGCTCTTTAACTAGAGTGGTGAAATTAGTTCATAATTGATGCACGAAACCACCGAAAATTGAAGAAAGAACTGCGGCCATCAAGGGTGATAAATTCACTTCGTTCAAATTTTTACCAACGAAAAACAAGCTACAAGAAGTAAATTCTGGCCTCCACTTTGCCTACACATACGGAGGAAGAGAAAGCTACTAAGTGCTGAAGAGAAGAAAAGTCAAAGAAACCACTTCTAAATGCTGCCTGACTTTCGTCAGAAGTATTCCACTACCACAAGCTAAAGAAGAAAAGTCAAAGACGGAGGAAAAAGGTAAAAAGCCATAGTGCTAGTTCTCTGCATTCTCTATTCTATATAATGTCTGACAACTATTCTCCCCCTAATCTCTTCTGAAGCTCTCTTTTTCTCAATTGCGGCGGCACATCAGGAGAACGAAGCCCTCTAGCTGTCCTTCCCTCACGGAATTTACCACAATGGACGTACTATCTTCTTTTTCAGAAATACCCCTGGGGCAAGCTCTATCATCTGGACTCATTTTCTATCAAATTGGCACCTGTTATCGTATTTTCGTTTTATTCCCTGAAATAAGTGCAAATTAAGAAAAATGAGTAGAATCCAGCAATTAATCCACATCAAGTCAGGTAATAGGAGAAATTAATAATAAAATAAATAGTGAAATTGCAACCTATCAGTATCTAGGGTTGTTTCCGGGTTAGAGAAATAGTTAACGGTCGTATCTTAACTATCGAAAAATTAAGGAAAGGTTGATTGTTTATTGCGTGCATGACAACTATAACTAGTCTATTAATAAATGTTAGAATTATCTGTGAATCGATGATCAGTGCATGAACCACTTCTGAAGTGTACCCTTGGTTAGAGTTCTCCCAATTAATTATTTTGCATATTTAATTTATTTAGTTAGCAATTCATTAACATTTAATCCCAAAAACCACCCATTAATCTTGACTCGAAAAGAAACAAATTTCTCTCCAATCCCTGAGGAGACGACCCTAGTTGCCACTGTTTACTAGTTAGCGAATTCAGTCAAATAATTAATCTTGGTATATCGGATTAAGCAAACTCTTCGGGATATGGTGAATCAAGTAACTACTTGCACACCTAGAGTCCCTGCTCCAGTACTAGAATTGATTATTGACTGCTTCAGGTTGTAGTTAGGTTTTATTTATTATTATTGCACAGGTTCGGCACCTGTCAAGGGGTCCATGTGCAGAATTCGATAGATTGATGTAGATACTGTTCTGGTTCTTTAATTCAAGTTTTAGCCTTTACGGGGGCAATGTTGTAGTTGGGAGAAGATTTCATGCACAATGCATAACTGATCTCTGGCCTTGCGATTCTAACTTGCCCCATTTTTTATATTTGTACAACTATATTTAGGTTTTTGGGACCTGAACAATTTTGGGCTAATTGATATATGTCGCAAGAACATTTTCATATTCTCTTGTGGTTAAATTCAAAAATATTATACACAACTAATGAATTGATAAGGCTTTTATAGTGTTGTATTTATCACTTAGGTTAGCAGCGAAACTGCCTCAATATTGGCTGGCTGATCTCAAGCAGTTTGATCAAAGTATCAAATCAAGTAGTTTGATTAAGAAAATACTCCCAAAACCCCATGATATGTAGACATACTTTTTAACATTAGTACTGATCGTCTATTTTAAATCCCTTCAAGAAAAATATCATAATTAATATCTACTTACATATGAGCTCGATCAGATCCGATCAATGCAAGCGGAGGTCATCTCCATCTCTTATCATGCAAGGAAATTCCTCAATTTCACTCCCAAATTTTAGTGTAGCATAAGGAGAAATATTAACAAATCTCGCCTTCTCCAGATCTAGCAAGTATTTCTTCTGTGGAATATTCAATTATTCAACAAACGAATGGAGCAAGAAAGAAAAGATTAACAATTAACAACGTAGTGGTGACAGTAGTGTAGGAATTACGTGAAAGTTGCATCTCGGTTTGGAAAAGCAAAGAATTTTTTTTATTCATTACTTTATGGTTTTTGAATGAATTATTTCACTCTCATTTTGTAGCTAAAAAGCACCAGTGTCGGCATTGTCCAATAAGAAAGGGACCCTTTTTTCTTAAACTTTAAAAGATTTTCGCTTTCCATAAGGTAAGACTTTCTTGGAATTTTCGAGAGAAAAAGAGCATATAAGGGGCCAAAAAAAGAAAGGAAAAAATTAAAGTCGAACAGAAATTTTGATTATCACAAAAATAGTTTCTTTCATTTTCAAGTGAAAGGGAAAAAGAGAATGATAATTTATAATTAGCTTTATTTCGCTTTTTTTTTTCCCTTTTTGTTCAAAATTCAAACATTGTTGTTCAGTATGCATGCTCCAAAAATCAATCTTATAATCCAAAAATCAATTGCTAGTTTTTATTTTCAAAAGAAAATAGTAAAATGACTTCAATAGAGATTTTGGTTTGATGGAATCTTTGACTTGAGTTTATATAACTACTGACAAGGGCTTGAAGCCATGAACAAAGAGTAAAGACGAGCGAGCATCAGTCCGCGATTACGTTTCACGGGTCCGGTGTCCTTTCCGCCTAACAGATTTGTAACCCGAACTAGTTCTATTGATTCGACATAAATCATTACTGTGTCCATAGTCATAAAGTACTCGAATGACCGGGTATTTGGCTAACTGGTTCACGGACCCGGAGTTTTTACCAGACTCGGTACCAAAGTTTAAAAAAAAAAATCATATTTTTACCAGACTCCTAGTAGAATTAAGGATATTGCTACAACTCAAAACTAATTTAGCGGGAGCTTTAGCAGAATCAATCTTAGTAGCAGGTGGAAATTTCCAACCCAAGATATCGGTGACCGTCATCATATAGCACATAATTTCACGGTTGGAATATTACCATCTATAACTTGAGAAACAGAGACTTTAAAAATTATTCAAATCTCATGGGCTCAAACATAAATTGTTAATCAATTCTGTCAAAATGATGGAGTTTGAACCTCAAATAGAAAAAAAAAAAAAAAGATAACAAAGTTCCTTGACAGCAAATTGACACATGTTTGAAAAGAAATAGCACACAACCATCACTAAATTTGGCAAAACGAAATTACACAAAATATGCCAACAGCAAAATGTCTTAGTAACCTTTACACTGCCGTGCAATTGATAAAATGGTGCACGGTGTACAAACCTCATTGATTGTTTCCACCATATCTTGACAAGAAAAGAGCCATGATCCTTTCCGCCATATCTTCCACAAAAGCACCAAAGAAAGCCACAGATAACCAATTACAATCTCAAGAGGAAAAACCACTGTAGCAGTCCCTCCCTGATGATATCATTAACAAAAATTAGAGCAATAATTAGTTGTTTGTTCATCAATTTCAATGTGCTCGTGCATGTATTACAGGCAACTGAAATACAAAAATGCTACCAAAAGGTAAATATAAATTAAACTCCTTTAAATGAAAAAAGCATGATTATTTCTACAAGCCAATTAATGGTAATGACAAAAAAAATTACCTGATATCGCATCAGCTGATGCCCTTCAATATTTTCCATAAATGATCCTCAGATTCTCATTTCCATTATATTTCTGTGCTTCTTCAATTTCCCGTACTAAGCAGGCATTATTTCCAAATAAGAAATTCTGTGGAGTTTTAATTGCTGAAGGCACGGGAAGTAATCATCACTGTCAAGGTCTGTCTCTATCCACTCAACAATCGCTACATATTCCAAAGTCAAGACCCTGAGTTTAGGGAATCCTCCTTCCATCAGCTCCCATTTTTGGCCCTCCATTGACTGGACTCTTAATTTGAGGACTTCAAGATTGGGTAGTTGTTCAATCAATGACATTTTTCTACAGGGAAGACCCAGAGCTTCAAGACTCAACTCTTTCAAATTCATGGGAAAAGAAAGCTCAACATGTTCCTGTGAACCTAAGAAGCTGTAGCCCCCTAAGTTGAGTGACTCTAGCATTCTAGTCGACTCATGTTGCAGCATACTCTGTTTTGATCCCCCAAATGGAAAATTTTAAGTCGGCGAACGTTGGAATCCTTCTCAACAGTTTCTCTCCTTCTTTATCAAGATAAAGACGCAGAGTAGAGAGTGTGTCTAAATTGGGTAAAGTAGAGAGGTTTTCAACAGCGTCGTCGTTGGAAGACAGACGAATAACAACAAGGTGTCTTACATGTACATGCCTCAACTTCTTCATGTTCCAGATGCTATCTGGCAATGAAACTATCTGGTGAGAATATAGACAAAAGGTTTCCAAATGTGAGAGCTTGGCTATACATGGTGGAATGAATTCCATTTTCCAAGCTCTAAGGGCTAAGTACCTTAAACAAAGAAGTGATTCAACTTCAGCTGGAAGCTCCTTCAGCCTTAGCATAATGCCGCGCTAAATTCAAAACTTTAAGATGTTTGTAGATGCAAAAAAGGAATGAGATGTTAACGCAACTCAAACCTATCTCCTGGAGTAGCATCAAAGAATAGCAGTACCTAAATATGGACAAAATAGCTTTGACTATAAAATCTTTCTCCACTGGAGCAAATAGACAACCGAGGTAGGTTGGGAGGCTCATTAAAGGTAGAGAGCTCATCATATCCTCGCAGGACCTGAAGCAGCCTCGCCCTTAAGAACTCAAATATCAAATCGTGAATGTAACAAGTTTTGACTCCACCAATGGATCTGCTTTTACTTACCATAACTAAGTTTCGACCAATTAGGGTCCATCAGATATTCTTCCGCAATGACTCCGATCTTTTTCCTTGAATTTTTTCCACAAACCCTTCTGCAATCCATAGACGCATCAAATTCTTGGCACCAATTTTTCATCTTCTCGAAAGGCAGCAAAATACAGCAAGCATGCTTCAAGTGATACGGTAAATGCTCATAACTGAGCTCCAATGGCTTCTTGCACTGGTCTGTACCAGACACCAATGGTTGAAGTTAAACTTTCAGCGAATTCTTCCCAAACCAAAATATCATGCCCTATAGTTGCTAGAACTCCAGCAACAACAACAAACTACTAGTGGCAATCCCTGCACTTCTTGGCAATCTTCATAGCAATTCCACACAAATGCTTGAGGACAATCTTCTTTCCAAATACCTTCTTCAGCAGTAATTCAAAACTTTCTTTCTCACTGAGTGGACGAAGATTGTGAGGTTTCCCCCCATATTCAACCTGTGAAGCCACAATTAGAAGATCGACTCGTGAAGATGATTCACTCTATTCCTTTCTTTTCATCGGGAATGAAATTCTCAGCTCATTCCATACCTTAATGTCCCAGACATCATCAAAAACAACAAGAATACCTCTTCGTCTTCAGCCTTTGATAGAGGCTCGTGAAGCAATTCATGTTCATTCAAGTTTTTAAGCTCTTTGACCATCCTTAACCGTTTTCCATCAGAACACAAAATTTGTATTAACAAGCTTTCAATGTTAAATTCTTGAGAAACAGTGCACCAAAGACGAATGTGGAAGTTACAGATTACTGAACTATCATTGTAAACTTTTTTGGCTAAAGTCGTCTTACCAAGCCCAGCCATTCCCACAATGGGAACAATTTCCACCTGTTCTGGTCCCCATATAAGTCGTTCAATTACTTTTTGGCTGCCTCGTCATCAAGACCAACCATGACTTCATGGGCTATTGGCATTTTACCTTTTGATAGAATGTGGCTGGAAGTCTTGCTAATTTCTGGTGCTCTTAAGCTGTGAAAGGAAGGAAGACTTTCAATATGCTTGAGCCACTGATCTGATCCTTAAATGCTTGATATGGATGTTGGTATTAGCCAGCATATCATACACGTTAAGGGCCTCTGTGGATTCTGAGAAGCTAACTTGTCCTTCCTTCACTCTGTTTAGAGAAGGCAAGCAAATTATAATGCCTGCCTCACAAAAAGAGCACCAATTTTTTCGTTTGTTTATATCCATCTCTCTATCTCCCTGCTTAAATGCTTCTCAAGAACCTCAGTCCTGCATAGAGTATTTGCATTTCATCTTTCAAAGAATCCATAAAGCTAGAGCTGCAGCATAACAGCTCCCAGAGACAACTTATGAGAGAATCATTGAAGTTGTTCAATATGCCTGCTTATCCATCATTCTATTATGGCAATGATTTTGAGGATCTTGAAGCTCTAGAACTTCATATAAATCTCATAGACTTGAAAATCAATAGGTGTGATTTTCTGTTGTTGCTCATAATATCATGGAGCAGAACTCAGGATTGTGCGCTCCTTACCATCCCAAACAGAGCACATGTAAAAGAGGTGTGCTGCGTTCAAAGTCACCACTTCAAAGTGAGCCAATAGCAAGGCAGGAATATCTGCAGTTCCTCGCAATTTGGCAAAGGGAATGAAGTTTTTCAAGAATGTTAGCTTTGCTTCAAAGGGCTTGGAATTGAGCACTAACTTGGGGATCCATATCATCAATAATACCCAAATAGACAGTTGTTAAATCCGCTAAATTTTCTAGAATGAGGTCTATAAATTCCATTAGTTCATCAACTGGCATGCAAGAATTTGATTCCAATGATCTGCTGCTTGGCAAAGTAAAGTAAACTTGGATGATTTCTTGCTTAAATGATTTGATCTGTTTCAAAAACTCAGAAAACACTTCATAGGGAACACGACCTAGGCCACTGCCATCAAATGCTGATATATTGCAAAGAGAGTACCGGAAGTCCTTCCTCATATTTGTGAACGTTATCTTCAATGCAAGATAAGAAAGATGGAAGACGCGCCTTCTTCGCTACATTCTCAGATTGCAAGTACAAATCATTGCTGTGGCTCCACTTTCTTGCACCACATAACAAATGTTTTGTGAAGTCTTATATCCAGGAACGCAGCTCCAAAATTGCATTCTCGGAACATGGATTTTTCCTCAGTTTCACTCTAAAATTTTAAGGGAGAAACAGATCTCGGCCGACGGCAGAGCAAGCAAGTATTTCTCTCCTGAAATTTCCCTTTTTTTTCCTTTTGGGAAGGTGAAGAAGAGAAATGAGATAATAAATTATTCACAGACAGACGGAGCAAGATCAAGAAGAACAGATGAATCAAAGGTAACGAGAGAGCGGTCAAATAATCCGGAAATGATCCTGGTTTAAGTAAAGTAAAGAAGTTTTATTACTACTATGCATAGTTTTTTTTTTTTTTTAATACCCGTTTCGTGTTGAGAAGAACCGGTCTGACATTGCACGATAACAAAGGACATGCTTTTCGTTCTGAAGGAAACTTTTTTTATTTCCTTCAGTGCTTGTCATTATGACGGCAGCTAATCCTTAGACTGTTTAAGAAGCATTTTAGCTAAGGGATAATTTCACATACCTCCCCTGATGTTTCTGACACTTGCACTGGTACCCGCCAAGGTTTTAAAAATTTCACTAACCTCCCCTGGCAGAGATTTGGAACCCTTTGCTTCCATCATGATAGCTGAAATTACCACTTTGTCCTATGAAATTGGGACTAATAGCTAATGTAAATTTGGGGGAAAAATGCATCAAAATTAGTTAATTACATTTAACTAGAATAACATAAATTTGATGTCTAATTAAGCTAATTAAAACTCCATTACAAAAAGGTGACAATTGAGGAAGAAATTTGGTGCCATTTTTCTACTGAAGTTAGGGTTTATTTCTACCGTTTAGTTGGAGAAAAAGGCATCTAAAGTGATTAATCAACCTTAACAACAATAAACAAACTTGATGGCTAATACATGAATTAAAGCTGGATTAGGGAGTAAGGGCCCATTTTTGTGCCTGCTGTGAATATATAAATGTTTTTAAATAAAATTTAAAAAGTGTTACAGTAATTTCTTACGGAAAAAAAAACTAGTAGGTTATCTATTTAACATAAATTAAATATTTTTTAAAAAATAAATATCTCATAAAGTACCAACTATTTATGGTTTTCTTTATTACATGAACCAAGTACCAAGTTTTATGGGTATTTTATTCTAAATCATTTAATTTATATTAAATACATAAATATTTGCAAATAAAAATCAAAAGCCGTTACATAAATATTTTTACGAAAGGAACAATAGCATGTTTTATATTTAATATAAATGACGTATTTGAAAGTAAAAAAAAATTTCATAACATACCAGCTCTTTACGAGTTTTTCCATTATATGGATAAAGTGCTAGCTATTTATGAGCAATTTAATTTGTATTATTTAATTTATATTAAATATATAAATATTTATAAGTGAAATTCAAAAAATGTTACACTAATATTATTACGAAAGGGAAACTAATAAGTTTTATATTTAACATAAATTAAATACGTGAAAGTAAAAAAAGAAATTACCCACTTTTTACTAGTTCTTTACGGATTTCTTCTATTATATGAATAAAGTACTAGTTATTTATAGGCATTTTACACTTTTCATATAATTTATGTTAAATACATAAATGTTTGTAAGTAAAATTTAAAAAGTGATACACTAATATTTTTATGAAAGAAAAACAATTAGGTTTTCTATTAAACATAAATTAAATATGTGAAAGATGAAAAAAAAAAAGTAATTGCCCATAACATATCAGTTCTTTATGGATTTTCTCTATTACACGAACAAGGTAATAGCTATTTATGAGTATTTTACTCTGAATCATTCAATTTTATTAATATACAATGGTTGTAAGTAAATTCAAAAAGTATTACACTCATATTTTTACAAAAGGGAAACTGGTAGGTTTTGTATTTAACATAAATTAATTATATGAAAGTAATACCCGCAGGTAATTTAATTAGTTTAATTAGTTACTTAATTTATATTAAATAGATAACCTACTAGTTGACTTAAGATTTATGAAAATCGGTATTTTTCCTGGCACATCTAGTACTTATAATTTTTTGTATTGTACTTACACTCCCTCAACTTTAATAGCCATTCTAATAATTTATTCTTGTTTCAATCTTCTACTAATACAAGGAGCAAAGGGCAATCATGGAATAAAAATACCTTCTCACACATGAAAATAATATTGTAATATGGTTTGGACTGCTTTGTTACAAAAACTCAAAAGTAAGGGAGATCAGTGAAATTTTGAGAACTTCAGGGGGTCTCAGTGCAAGTTTCAGAAACCTCAGGGGAGGTTTCTGAAATTATCCCTTTAGCTAAAGATGTAATGGGCGTCACTAACCCACACTAGTTGCCATGTAATGGGGCTCATCCCTTCCATCAAGAATGGTCTGAGTCTCTGGACTGATCAGCCTCCTTCCTGTTATATTCATCAACGAACAAACGAATAAATTATAGTGCAACCCCTTGCAAACAAACGAACAAATTAGTGCATTTTCGTATAATTACCGTGCGGTAACCTGTACATGACTCCACGCTTTGAAGTGCAGTGTCAAAATGATTTTAGTTAAATGTCAAAATGTCCTCTGCATTGGAATTACTTAAAATGTTAAAATTATTTATATAAAAGTCCAAAATGATTTTATTAACTAATGTTGAAATTCTAAGATTTAGAAGTCTTGGAATCTAATTCTCCTTTCTCCTCCTCGCTTTTTTTTTTTAAAAAAAAAATCCTACTTCTTCTTTGTTGAAAAAAAATTTAATATATGTATAGGATAAATTGCACTTTTGTATCTTAGGGATTTTTTTTTTAATGTATAAATAACTCAGCTGCAGCTTGAAAAGTTATACATAACCATCAGGCCACTTTACCCACCTCTGCATTAGATCTCCATCGATTCTGATGTTAATTTTCTTGACTAACTTTATGTCACATAAATTTAATCAAAAGTTGATCTACTAAAAGGCTAGATAGAAGGATGTTGGCAACATCAGAAGTCTTCAACCGACCCAACAGGCCAATTTGTGCTGGAATTTGACCTGTTAATTGATTTTTGTTGAGTAGTAGGGTATTTAGAAATGTACAATTTGCAAGTTTACAGGAATCTTACCTTTTATAGAAACAGATCTCACCGTCTGCAGGGCAAGCAAGTATTTAGTAGTATTTCTTTTGGAGTTTTTTTTTTTTTTATTACTCAATAGGTTACTGAGAAGAAAGGACCTGCACCCCACAATCGCCTTTCGTTTTGACGGATTCAAGGAAAGAATTTTTATTGTTTTTGGACTATTTATCCTCGTATTTCTGGGCTCTGCTTTTTTTGTGATTTGAGACACTTTGATGATTTTACCGTCCAAAGCGTGTAGAATAAAATTAATTCCACTTCTTACCATGATGCAACCAATAACATTGAGAAGGAAAAATAAATAAGGACTTTAAGTTAAACAGAAATTTCCGACGTCACAAAACTGATTCCGTTAATATGCTTATGTTTTAGCGTAAAGTTAAGGATTTCCCCACAAATTTTCTTAAATAAAATTTTTCTTTATCACTCCACACACTTTTAATGTAAAGTTATGATCAATATGCACCATTATATTGGCTTCTCAGTTATGCTGGGGATTTATTTCCAAACAAAGTATTATCATAGTTACAGAAAATGTACACAAATTAAGTAAGGGCCAATTACATCTATATGTGAAGCCATCAAATTCGAACTATCCTGATGCAAGAACATATGAAAAAGA